CATCACCCAGGTATGGATTCGGTGGGTAGTTAGTACACCCACCCCAACTACTGCAAACTCTAGTTGCAACCGCCTTCATATTACAGTACCGCCTCATATTACAGTTTTAGTACAGGGTGAAACTAATACTCTCGACGCCCATTACAACAAAAGGAACGACGGCTGAAGAGAAAGACAAGTTTGTATCTTGATTTTTCATCAACGAAGACGAGGAAATATGAGGCGCAAGAGAAAGTGGGAATGATTGCAATTTGCTCTGAGACAGCAGTGACACTGAAGGACATCGATATGATTGCAATTTGCTCCTGGAACAGCAGTGACACTGAAGGACATCGATACTCGACTAGTATCTATTCACGGATTACTCATAGCAAGCTACACAGTTGCAACCCGCTTGCTGGTCCATGCAAGGGGTCACAACGGACGATCAGTGGCGGGGTTCGTGTCGTCGAGCTTCTCACTGCGAGATCGGTTCCTTGTCGAGCTGCTGATTCTTCATCAGTCTTGCCCTCCGGTCTGAGTACCAGGAATAGGCGTACTTGCCTGTCCTGTAGCTCCCGTACGCCGCCGTACCGACGACAGCCGCACTGAGGCATGGTACAGCAGCAACCTTCCTCCTCCCCCTCCTTTTCTCCCCTCCTCCTCCTCCTCCTCCTCCTCCTCCTTCTCCTCTACCTGCAGGAGTTGATTGGCACGATGCTCGATGATGCCGAGGTACTGCATCATGTTCGTCTCGCTGACTCCCTCCGTCCCCATCATCTCGCTCAGGGAGCTCTTGTCACATCCCAATTTGAGGAAGATGCTCTGAATACCCTGCGATATCTTCACTCCTCCTCCTCCTCCTCCTCCTCCTCCTCCTCCTCCCTCCTTTCTGCTTCCCTTTCCATGTCTCTCCTCCCTCCTTTCCCCCGTAGGATTCCCCCGGGCCCTTCGCATCCTCTCCCCATCCTCCTCTCCCCGCCCTTCCCTCCCAGTCCTTCTCTCCTTCCTTCTGAACCTGCTCGAGCTGTGTGATTGTCTTCGACGCCTTGATGCTCTTGGCCTCGTACTGCTCCGCCTTGGCTTCCGTGCTAGCAAGTCTGATAGAAGAAATCAGAAGGGAAGTGAACGAGGATGGAAGGAGGAGGAGAGAGGAGAGAGGAGAGAGGGAGGAGAGAGGAGAGAGGAGAGAGGAGAGAGGAGAGAGGAGAGAGGAGGAAGGAGGAGAGGAGAGAGGAGAGAGGAGAAAGAGAGGAGGAGGAGGAGAACCTGTCCTCGAGATCTTTCAAGAGCTTTTTCCTTTGCCTGTCGTTTTGACCTCCTTGACCTCTGTACTTTTCGATGTCCGTCTGTGTGGTATCGTTAGAAGGAGGAAGAGAGGAGGAGGAGGAGGAGCTGGTGGGGTGGACAAGGACCTTGATATCAGCGATGTGTTCCTCAAGCTTCTCGATCTCGTTGTTCAGCTCGTTGACGTAGTTGAAGAGAGAGAAGTTCTGGTCCTCCGCATCGATAAAAGTCTGTCAAAGATGAGGGAATTCAGACAAATCTGCTCTTCCTCCTCCTCCTCCTCCTCCTCCTCCTCCTCATCATCATCATCATCATCATCATCATCCCTCCTTCCCTCCCTCCCTCCCTCTTCCTCTCTCTTCCTCCCTCTTGCCGATTGCAGTTCTCATGGATTCTCTTGCTCAAACCCCACTTGTACTTCCTCATCCTGATTACCTGAACAAGTTCGTCGATGTTGTCTATTCCTGTTGCAGCCTTGATCTGCTGAAAAGCTTCTTCGAAGGACTGAACTTTGTCAAGTTGCCTGAGTGCAAGAGTGAGAATGAGAGATGAGACAACCGGGCAACAAGAATGTGTCAAACACAATTATCATCCTGACCATCACAGTGATCAAAGACATCATCATTTCTACATCAATCACCAATGTCATGATCATGATGATTATTATCATCATCTCCATCTCCATCTCCATCATCATAATCATCATCATAATCATCTTCATCATCATTATCAATATAATCATCTCCATCATCATCATCATCATTTAAATCACGCATCATTACGTCTTGGTCGCTGCTTTGTCTTTCGCCATCTCCCAATTCCCCTGCGTTCACATCAAAATCATTCTCAAGTCGCACAGCCATTGTTATCAATTCCCAACAAGACAATTCAAGTTTCTCACCTTGAGGCTCTTCCTCTTCCCGCCGTCGTCACGGTTTGCCCTGTTGGTACACAGAACAAGTGAGAATTCCATCAACAATGGTTGAGATCAACTCCTTCACCTCTCTGGGCTGATTTGCTTCAGCTGCCGATCTCTCTCAAGGATCTTTCCCAGCTCCCTCCATTCCACCTGCAAGTTCCAAAGTCACAACATGTTTGCAAGCCCATCCTCCTCCTCCTTCTCCTCATCATCATCATCATCATCTCCATCATCATCATCATCATCATCATCATCATCATCATCATCATCATCATCATCATCATCTCCATCATCATCATCATCATCATCATCACCAGATCCTAGTCATCATCAATAAGGGGATCAACATTACCCTAATCAACGTCAATATCATTGTAATAGACCACTTCAACATCTCCGTGAACATGTCCACGATCCCCTCCTCATGATCGAAGATCATCCTAACATCAGCGTGAGAGCTCAGTCATACTCCCACCTCATT